AGTACTCTGGATGTGAAATGTGTGATACCAAATGTAAGATTCCATTATTATTATCTCAAAGCACTTCACAGGAGTCCTGTAAATACACAGCGTAGTGACAGTGTATTTTGTAAGCAAACTTACATTCTTCTTAGTGCCCTATCACGTTGAAACATCCCAAAGTGCTTTAAAGTAATTATGGGTGAGTGTCCTGACTGTTTTTTTATTGACAAATGTGTCAGCTATTTACTCCAGCAAGATATCACAAACACGAGTTGAATAACCAATTAATCTGGAGGCTTGTTGGCCAGGACACCGGGACAAATTCTCTTCTCTTTGATAATAGTGTGATTGGACAGTTATTCTCCTGCTGAACAGATAGTTTCGCCCACAAAATATACAGTCAATTCACTTTACAGTATATTCTGTGAAGCGCTTTGAGACGTCTCGAAGATGTGATAAGGTGCTATATCAAATGCAAGGATTATTATTAAAGACAGGATCTCAATTTAATATTCTTATCCAGAGAATGATACCCCAAACAAAGCGGATTCCAGCACTATGAGTTCAAAGGTTCTTATTTGCGGGTTGGGTTAACCATGGGCTAATGCATACAGGTGCCCTTAATTATATGCAATTCAGAACTGATTATACGAAGAATTACACAATCACCAGTAATCCTTTGCATTGGCTGGTATTTACTTAATTGAAGTAATTTCATCTGTACACACGTGTTTGCACATAGTTAAACCCACAAGACTAGACTGGACTGGTCTAACCTCAAACTAGACTAGTCCAGATCTCCACATATACTCCAATGGATGGCACACTATGTGGACGAGTTTTCAGCTGTACTGAGGCTCATTCGGCTTATTATCATCATCATCAAAAATTCAAAAACTCATTCAGGTCATCATCATCATCAAAACCAACAACTTGCATTTATATAGCAACCTTCAAGCTAGTAATGTCTCAGAGCTCATCAATTAATTTCAGAGGAATCTCAATCCGTATACAAAAGAGAAGGGAATGAAGGAATATAAGGGAAGGCTGGGGAATTAGGATTAACTGAAGTATGGTATAAACAGCAGCACGAGTAGTTGGGCCGAATGGCCTCCTTTGGTGCTGTAGATCCTACATTTGTAATTCTATCTATATGTATTTATATATGTAATTAAATGCCCACCCTTGCCCGGCTCTACTGGCTTCCCATCCCTCAGATGACAGAGTTCAAATTCGTCGTCCTCGCCTTCAAGGTTTCCACAGCCTTGCTCCTTCCTACTTCCGTGACCTGCTAATGGCATATCAACCTGTCCGCTCCCTCCATTCAGTATACGCTGGACTGCTTCACGTCACCCGCCTGGCCCACCTCACCATTGACGGTCGGGCCTTCAGCCTCTCTGCTCCCACCTATCTCACAGTCCCTTTGTCTTGCTCCCTCCCTTGCTTCCTTCAAAGCACGTCTCAAGACCTTCATTTTCGACCGCACCTTCGATCAGACTCCTACCCCTTCCTTCTCTGCCTTCTAGCCATCCTGATTTCGGAGTCCTGTAGCTCAGTGGTTAGAGCACTCGCTTTGCAAGTGAGAGACCTGAGTTCAATTCCAGGCAGGGCGAAACCTTGGGCAAGTTTCCTTACTCCACACAGAGCCTAATAATAATCCCTCCAAAAAAAAACAAACAATAATTAAATTGGTCATTTTCAATCTCCGACTGTTTGTGGGACATTGCTGTGCGCAATTGGCTGCCGCGTTCGCCCACAAATATACAGTCAATTCACTTTACAGTGTGTTCTGTGAAGCGCTTTGGGACGTCCTCCCGACGTGAAAAGCGCTATATCAAATGCAAGGATTATTATTATTATTATTATATATATTGCAACCCACTGCTCAGGTCCAAATCCCTGATTGCCCAGTCACTTGGGGCATCCTCCCGACGTGAAAGATGCTTTACAAATGTAATTTGTTGTTAAATTGTAATATTTGTTATTTGCAATTCTGAGTTAATCACTCAGTAATTGGCTTAAGTGGTGTTTCTGGATTGCTGGCAAGCACCAAGAGCTCTCACTGTGTTAAACCTGTGTTATAATCTGATTTTAATTTCACATGATGGCCTCTAGAGTGTGGCAATTTCAATATGATTCCTCAATAATGACTCTTGAGTTTCAAAGGCGGAAACCTTCCAGTAACCAAGGGATGCCGACCTAAGAGAACTCTACTCTGAAGGGATCTCCTTCCAGAATGACCTTCCCCTGGACCAGCAGTTCAATTTCAAGATGCTCACCCTTATCTTTGAATGCCTCAACAGCTTCGTCTCAACCTATCTCTGTAAATTCCAACCTGCTCACTCCCTCCACTGCACCACCTCTGGTCTGGTTCAGTTCCTATCCCCCTCCCTACCACTATTGACAGGCAAGCTTTAGGCCACCTTGTCCCACTTTCTGTATTTTCCCCCTAAATATCTCAACAACAACTTGCACTTATGTAGTGATCTTCACGGGGGGTAGCGTCCCAGATCTCCATCATTCCATCTCACTCACTCTCTCGTTGCTTTCAAAACACATCTCTGTGACTGTGCCTTTGGCCACCTTCATCCTACCTCTCCCTCTCTCATCTGCTCCGACTCCCTTTCCGTCCCTGTAAAGTGCTTTGAGACATTCTCTTACATGAAGGAAGCAACATAAGAGCACATTGTTGTTATCAAGAATCCCATTATCACCTATCACATTTTAGACCCTAACGTGCCTTACTGCCACCATACGTTAAAGATCCCATGGCACTATTAAAAAAGAGAAGGGAGTTTCTCTCAGTGTCCTGGCCAACAATCCCCCAAATAAAATTGGCCACTCACTTCATGGCTGTTTGCAAGACATTGCTGTGTACAAATTAGCTGCCTACAAATCCAGTCACTGCACTATACAGTAAAATCCTGTTTATAGTAAAAGCTCTTTGAGACATCTCGATGACGTGATAATTCACTGTATCAAATGTTAAGGCATAATGACAAGTAGGTGTTAAATGTATTGCCTATTCCTAGGCCCAGTCCTGAAATTTAGGGAAGAGTAAAACTCGATGCAGAGAAAAACTTTACCATCAAACTTCAAATGGTGCACATAATTCTACATTGATTATGGTGCACAACCTCTAAATAACAGAAACACTACAGGACACCATTGAGGTAAAGATAACACAGATTGTTTTACATTTTATCCAGCAAATTGAGGCACTGGAGTAAGCAGCTGATAAATGATAGTTAAACAATAACATAAATATAGGAATCTGCAGATTTTCAGGTCAAACATCAAACGTAAAAGTACTACAAAATACAGTCATTCCGCTTGCTAGCCAGACATCATGGTATGTATGAGCACCAACTTTCTACAACTAAAAATGGACAAGATGGAAATCATCCTCCTTGACTCCCATCAACGTCTTCTCACCATTGGCTCTGGCTTCCTTAACCAACCCAGTCTATCCCTCAGACTTATCGAATCTGTGTGCAACCTAGTCATCAGGTTTAATCTTCAGCTGTCCTTCCTACCCCACATCCGGTCCCTGACCAGGACCACCTTCCTCCACCTCTGCCATGTCGCCCGCCTCGGTCCAAACCTCTCACCCAAGGAGTTGAAACCCTCATCCACGCTTTTGTCACTTTCCACTTGATTTCTTCAAAGCCCATCTCGGTGGTCTTCCCAGCTCCACCATTCATAAAATCCAATTAATTGAAATCTCCACCATCCCTATCCTTACCTGTACCAAACTCTGTACTCCCATCACTTCAGTCCAGTGCCAGGCTCCATTGGCTCTCTATCACAGAATGCATCAATTTCAGGATCCTCATGCTCACCTACAAATCACTTCATGTCCTAGCATGTCCTTTCCTGTCCAAGTTGTTCACACTCCACTCCTCTACCCAGTCCCTTCGCTCAGTCGTCTTGGTCTCCTGCGCATCCATAATCCACTCTGCTCCACCATCACCAGTTGTGCTTTAGCCACTATGCCTTGAACCTCTAGCACTTCCTGTCCCAATCTCTCCACCTTTTCCGCTCTTTGCCCATCTTCAGATCGCATCTGAAGACTTTGACCATCCCTGCAGTCCCCTTTTCAGCTCAGTGTCAAATCACGGCATTGTTAAGTGTTCTGAAACCATACCCTGGATGAACAGCGCATATGTAAATGCAAATTGTTGTTGTTGTTGATATTTACAGGAAACACTGTGCATTATTCAACAAATAGTTTAACATAATCAGGAGCAAATCCACTCTGCCTGGTGGATTAGATATTTCTGATTTAATAGGTTAACTGCAATGAGAAAGAGTTCCGTCACTCAAGTAAATAATAATCCTACAATTCTTGCATTTGAAAATGGGGTTGGTCATGTTATCAAGATATCTTCAAGTGTTTCATAGTACATACTGTAAAGTGCTGTGACTGTGCGTATTTTTTGTGCAAAGCACTGTATTAAGAGTTACCAAATCAGGACGGCACAAATGAATGCGCAAGACTCAGAGACTTGCACCACTTTAATAATTCTCCATGTTACTAAGGAAAGCTGGTGATGGAAGTTTCAGTGAAGTGCCACTTCTCAAACTAGTTTGCACAATATGGGCCGAATGGCCTTCTTCTATGCTGTATAATTCTATGAAAATGAATAGTTCGGCATTTCTGGCAGAGGGAGAGAAAACAAGTTCCGGCTCCATATAAATTACTGATGTGCTCTAAGTGGTTTCACGCTCAGTTAATGAGCTTAACTATTACTTTCATGGTTCGTTTAAAAGTTTCACGGTTCGTTAAGTAAAAATAAATAATACAGAAAATGTTTCCAGTTGAGGTGGATTTTTTTTTCTTTGCCAGCAGAGATTCCTGATTAATGCTCACGATAAATGTTTAAAAAAACTCTGTGGAAATGAAAGAAACCCATGAGTTAGCTGTGAACTTTCTCCGAAACAAACAAGCCTTTTCCTTAACCTGAGTTTTAGCTATTTATGTAATACGTACAGTTTAAACCACATCACTGGAGCACCCTGAAGCAAAACTGAGACTTGAATCTATCTCTCTTTCCTAAAAACAGTTTGCCGAACTGCAAAATGAACTCTAGGATCATGGAAAGTGGGATGAGGTTTGATGGGACAGTATGGCACATAATTATTATGATGGTGTTTGATATCGGATCTTTCACATTGGGCGGAGGTTTCAAAGTGTCTCCACAGCATTCACTATAAAGTCCGGTGACTCCTTATTTTTGTAGGCAAATGTATTTTTGTGGGTATGTTGAAACACTAATGTCCTGCGCTTAGTCTGTAGGATTCCAGTTCACCTCCTTACATGGCCCTGTCCTCAAACCCCTTCAAGCCTTTACCTTTCATGTACCTGTCCATTTCTCTATTGAAATAAAATCTGCTATGCTCTCCTTTCACTCTTGTGGCTATCTTATGCTTATGTCCTCTAATTACCCTCCCTCTCCCCTCGATCAGTTGAAAATGCATATTTCTTAATGGAGCACAGAGATTAATATACTGTTTCTTTAAAATGCAACTCAAATCAGTATTCAGAGCTTTCCACTGTTATTCAGTTGAGTTTTTAAGGTTACTGATTTGAAGACTTCAATCTCTCAGATATAGAAGTGGTAACAAGAGGGACTCCAGGATCATGGAAAGTGGGATGAGGTAAATATTATGAGCCTTTTCACGGTGTTGGTTTACAATGGACTCAAATTTATGGCAGCTAGAACAGGCCGTGAAAAATTCGATATTTTTGCATTTTCTCATCTTCAAATACTTCTTTATCTTGACTTCAAGACTTATCTCTGTGACCTTGGTCACCTTTACCCTCCGCACCCTCTTTAGCTCCCTCACTAAGTGTCCCAGCTCGGGTATCCAGCCAGCAGTACAACAACAACAACTTGCATTTATATAGCACCCCTCAAGTAGGGTAATGTCTCAGAGCGCTTGACAGTGGCGGAGCACGACGCTGAGCTGGGGGGAGGGGGGAGATGACTGTAAACATGTTGATGTGGAAAGTCTTCAGCTATGACTTGAGGATGGGGAAGGAGGCATCAAGGTGGAAGGATTGAGGAAGAGTGTTCTTGAGTTCAGGGGGTAGAAGCTAAAAGCCAGCCTCCGATGGTGGATCGGAGTGTACGAGGGACATTGAGACCTCCTCCCAATGTTCAAAACCCATTGAAACGTTCTCCCAATGTGAAAAGCTCCATATAAAATGTAAACTGTATTGTATCTAAGTCTTTATTGGATCCGATAGGAAGAGGAGCCCTAGCTTTTATGGCACAGATTTTCATGTCACTCATTGATTTTACCAATCACCTACAACACGTATAATCAGTCAGATTTACTCTATTTATCTGTGAGAGAAAAAAAAGCTGAAATGTAATGTTATTGCATCATGACGTAACAAAAAAAACCTGCCACTTGTCCAGTCCTCCTTACCCACCCCAGTCACAGGAGCAAACCCTGGGAAAATTATACAAACAGCCGCAAATATTTAAAACCTGCTTTGTGCCTGTGTGCTTACACTCATTTTGGAGTTGAAAGCATTTCTCCTTTCAGTTTTATTCTTTCATTAGCACAGGGCGTGCTAATTAATTGGAATTTTCCAGTGCTTTTGTGGCTCTGAAAAAAACATTCCTTCATCTTAAAGAGGGTCCATATACCTTCCAAAGGGCAGCACAAAGCCAGTGGTAATAAGAGGTAGGATTAAGCCCACTTTGAATGACTCAGCCCCTGTAAAGACTGCTGCAGTTCCTGCCCCTAGCCTTCAACCTTGCCAAAACTGATTTATGGGCACTGACATCTTAACCGCAACTATTCTTCCCCCAAAAAGGAGGCTGTCTTGTTGACATTGTTTAAGATCAGAAATTAACTATTGAACAGACTTGGCTTGGTCTAAAACCAGGAGAGGACTGGGAAAATATAACATCTGAATTTGTATAAAATTCTATAAAAAGATTTGGCCGCTCGTGAAAGTGATCAGGAACTGATACTGCATTCTCCCCTCTGGCTGCACCCCTCACCCTCCACCCACCTTCCCTTCCCTCCCTCCCTGGCCATTGTTCTTAGTATTTGAAATGTACTTGACATTGTGTTCGTATTATATACCTTACAGGCAAAAGAGGTAGGACATGACTCTTCCTCATCTGTCTGTCAAAACATTGCCATGGTAACCTGGCCATTCTGCTTAGATCTTATATAATGTGATGGTCTGGTTGTGAAGCACATGTATAAACACATTCTTGAAGAAATGCACATACACACATATAAACACACACATGAATATATAACAGTGCGCATATTAATACACATGTACACAAACACATATAGAAACACACACATTCTTACATTTATACACAAATACATATACAAATGCATACACATAAATACACATGTACACAAACATACCAATACGCATACATAAACATGCGCACATAAATACACATATACACAAACATATATAAATTCACACCTAAATACATATTTACACAAACACAAATGTGAACATGTATACATAAATACCCATATACAAACATACCCCACACAAAGAACACATTCATCTGAACTTTAAACTACATGTATTGAACATGTATGTGCAGTTTGCATTGCAATATAAACCCAAACCTGGTCACCCACAATTGATTCTTTTCTTACCCCTGCCCCAAGAGATCTAATGATTAAATGTTTATCAGATACCTCGTGACTAACTCAGATGTGTACTATAGCTGTACCTTTCGTCCCCTGAAGGCACTTCTTGCTTTGATATAAAGGTCTGGGATTGGATGTACATTTGAGAGTAGGAAACAAAACATGTCCATTCCTTGGCTCTTTGTCCTGATAACATCTTTATCTGTGATTAACTGTGTAAACTTCCTTGACAGAGATTAGCCCTGTAATGTTCCTGCCTGCGATGAACCCCATAGCACCCTTACCTATGATTCACCCTGTGATTGATTCTTACCCAAGATTATCCTTTTAATGTCCTTACCTGCAATTAATTCTATAATTCTACTTATCTGCAAATACCATTCTAATGTCTTTACCTTAGATTAACCCCGTAATGTCCTTACCCGAGATTAACTGTAATTTCCTTACCTGAGATTAACCCTCTATTGTCCTTAGCTTCAATTAACTTGTAACACTCTTTCCTGCGATTACTTGTATAACGTTCTTTCCTGCAATTAGTCCTATAATATCCTTACTTGCAATTAACTCTGTATATCTCATTAAATGATAGTTAGTTTTCAATGGTCAGTTTATATTGTTAAAGGTACAATTAGAAAAACACAGAAAGTCTTCTGCCATCGATATTTGGAAATAGAGCAATCAAATGAGACCTGCTTCAATTGAACTTCAAAACTAGCAAGTAGAAGCTGAATTATATACACTGAATTAATCACTAATATTACATGACAATTCTTAATTGAGTTCAGTAATGGTGACTCCATGTCACAAATAAGTGATCCTTGCTGATAACTGGGAGTAAATCATGCTGGACACTGGCAATGCCTTCTTCTACTTCTAGGCATGTCAGAACAGAGCTCTCACAGCTTAGTTTGACGTGCTTCTGGTTATGCAGAAATGAGTTCTTAGAGTCTAGGAGTCAATATTATTGGGAATTGGACCTCACATGGTCTAGGCTAACATTCCAGAGCAGTGCTGGAGGTGTGCTGCATTGTTGGAGGTCCCGTCCTTCGGATGAAACAATAGATAGCATATATTCCACAGTCATATTGTGTTTCAGCTTGTCTCAGTTGGTAACACTCTCGTCTCTGGGTCAGAAGGTTGTCGATTTAAACACTATGTCAGGACTTGAAGCGCATATAGTTTAAGTTGACACTCCAATGCCGTGCTGGGGAGTGATGCATTGTCGGGGTGCCGTCCATGGGATTAAATGTTAAATCAAGGTTCATTTGCCTGTTCAGGTTGATGTTAAAGATCCTGTGGCATTTTTCTAAAAGAGAAAGAAGTTTCTCCTGGTGTTCTGGCCAAATATCCCCCAAATAAAATTGGTCACTCACTTAATAGCTGTCTGTGGGACATTGTTGTGTGCAAATTGGCTGCCACATTTGCCCACACAATACAAAGTCACTACACTTTACAGAACCTTTGTGAAACTTTTTGAGATGTATGCTATTATAGATGATGTATTATTAATAGTCATGTATTATATCCCTCTATCAGGACACACACAGTGTAATTTAACACCAACTTTCAAGCCTCAAATCCATGTTCAGAAATGAAATGGATTGACTATACATGGGAAACCATTTTACAATTTACAGTGTGTTTGGTAATAATGTGCTGATGAAAATAAATTTTACAACTATGTTACAATTACTATGCGGTGTTACTAAAGGTATTCCATTCCTGATTTATCTCTGGTTTTAATTAAGAATGGAATGCATTTATGAAAAATAATAACATTAATCCTTACATTTTGGTTCAGCATCTTTCACTTCAGAATGACATCTCAAAGCACTTAATAGGATTTGTGTTTTGTAGGTGAACATGGCAGCCAATTTCTGCACAGCAATGTTCCACAAACAGCCATGAAATGAATGACCAATTTTATTTTATTTTATTTTATTTGAGGGGATTCCAGAACACTGGAAGAGACTCCCTTCTCTTTTCAAATAGTGCCCCAATAGAGACTTCAACATCCACCTGGAGCCTCAGTTTAACATCTCCCCAAAGAATGGCACCTCCGACAATGCAGCACACCCCAACACTGCACTGGAGTATTAGCATAGACAATGTAAATTCCAAGTCCCAACGGAGGCTTGAACTCACAACCTTCTGACTCCAAGGTGAGAGTGCTCCCAAATGAGCTAAGGTGACCCCTGAGTACTGCAGCCAGGAGTTTTTGACCAGTATGGTACCAATAACATGATGTTCCAGGTGGCTTTATGATCAATGTCACTGCATTCTTATTCCTTGATCTGTGTCACACTGCTCCTACTGTGTTGTGCGCGGCCCCTGCACTAACGGCCATATATTATGAAATGAGAACAGGTAGCTGGCAGTGAGT